GTTCAAGACCAGCCTGGCCAACATAGTGAAACCCCATCTCTACTAAAAATGCAAAAATTAGCCAGGCATGGTGGCCCGTGCCTGTAGTACCAGCTACTCGGGAGGCTGGGGCATGAGAATCACTTGAACCTGGGAGGCAGAGGTTGCAGTGAGCCGAGATTGCGCCACTGCACTCAAGCCTGGGTGACAGAGTGAGACTCCATCTCAAAAAAAAAATAAAAGGCAAGCTAGAACAACCTGCTACTGCTGAGTGCACACTTGCTGCAGTGACAGCCGGTATTGCAGCCTCTCTCCAGGTCCCCATGGCACAGCCTGACAGGGAGGAGCTGGGAAAGCAGACATGTGTCTGCAGGGGCTCAGCTCCAGCCTTGCAAAGCAGGGCATGATCCTTCTCCCCAACAGCATGTTTGCATAGTGAATGATAATTTAAAGATGGCACCAGGGAGAATCTCAAGCCCATTGTTTTATAGATCACGGGAAGGGCAGCACAACACACTTGCCATGTACGCGTTCACGGTATGTATCGTCATGTGCTGCGAATAACGACTCTTCTGGTCAAGGACGGACTGCATATACCGCAGTGGTACCATAAGATTATAACGGAGCTGAAACCTCCCGTCCCCTAGTGATGTCGTAGCCATGGTAAAGTCATAGTGCAATGCATTTTACTCACACAAATCTAGGATGAAAATAAAGGAACAAACCAAGCAATCCACCACGGACATCTTTCTGAAAAGAGTGACATATCTTCAAGAAAAGCCTCAGGCAGGTCCTTCAGGTGTCCAAAAGAAGGCCCTGTTCTCACAGGAGATGACAGCTCCATGTGTGTTATGGCCCTGAAGCCCTTCCCGTGGGACAAGGTGTGGAGGCGCAAGACAGCGACATTGATGATCCTGACCCTGTGTGGGCCTGGGCTAATGTGTGTATTTGTGTCTTCATTTTTAACAAAAAGTTTAAAATGTAAAAAAATAAAATAGGAAAAAAGCTTATAGAATAAGGATACAAAGAAAGAAAATACTTTTGTATAGCTGTATAATGTTTGTGTTTTAAGCTAAGTGTTATACAAAGAAGTCAAAAAGCTTTTTAAATTAAAAAGGATATAAAGTTAGAAAAGTTACCGTAAGCTAAGGTTAATTTACTGTTAAAAATGAAAAATATTTTTTAGAATTTTAGTGTAGGCCAGGCATGGTGGCTCACGCCTGTAATCCCAGCACTTTAGGAGGCTGAGATGGGTGGATCGCCTGAGGTCAAGAGTTCAAGACCAGCCTGACCAACACGGTGAAACCCCATCTCTACTAAAAATACGAAAATTAGCCGGGTGTGGTGGTGAGTGCCTGTAATCCTAGCTATTTGGGAGGCTGAGGCGGGAGAATCACTTGAACCCGGAAGGCAGAAGTTGCAGAGAGCTGAGATCGCACCACTGCACTCCAGCTTGGGCGACAAGGGCAAAAACTCTGTGTCAAAAAAACAAATTAAAAAAAGGCCGGATGCAGTGGCTCACACCTGTAGTCCCAGCACTTTGGGAGGCCGAGGCGGGCAGATCACGAGCTCAGGAGATCGAGACCATCCTGGCTAACACAGTGAAACCCCGTCTCTAGTGAAAACACAAAAAATTAGCCGGGTGTGGTGGCGGGCACCTGTAGTCCCAGCGACTCGGGAGGCTGAGGCAGGAGAATTGCTTGAACCTGGGAGGCGGAGGTTGCAGTGAGCCAAGATAGCGCCATTGCACTCCAGCCTGGGCAACAGAGCAAGACTCTGTCTCGAAAAAAAAAAGAAAGAAAGAACAAAGACAAGAAAGAAGAAGTTGCCTAAGTGAACAGCGTTTACAAAGTCTACAGTAGTGCACAGCAGTGTCCTAGGCCCTCACACTCTCTCTCCACTCACTCCCTCACTGATCCACCTGGGGCTACTTCCACTGCAGCAAGCTCCATTCACGGCAAGTGCCCTGTACAGGTGCACCATTCTCAGTCATTTTTTACTGTACCTTTTCTACATTTAGATACGTTTAGATACACAAACCCATTACCATCGTGTTACAATTGCCTACAGTATTCAGTACAGTAACAGGCTTCACAGGTGTGCAGCCAAGGAGTACGAGGCTACACCGTACAGCCTACGTGTATAGCGGGCTGTCCCCTCCAGGTGTGTGGAAGTGCACTCTGTGACGTCTGCACGATATTGAAATTGCCTAATGATGCATCCTCGTGGTTATGCATCCTGCAACTGTACATTAATCTCAGCCCCTCCCCTTATTAGCACCAGGGGGCAGAGATGTCATCTCGCCTGCTTCCCATCTGCCATGGCTCAACTGCTTGTTAGGTCACCTGGGATTGGTGCAGTGTAGATCACGGTTAGGTTATTCCTGATCTCTGGGGCAGATTTGGTCTGGGAACTGGCGCCACACAGAGGTTGACCTCCAGTCACCAAATATCAAAAAGGAAAAGGGCACTGTTCAAAAGGTGTCCTGTGAAAGCTGGTGCTTTTGCAGCTCTATGTGGGCTGTACTTGGTGGGGATGCCAGAGGGGAGGAAGGGGTTGTTTTAAGTCCCTGCAGTCATCTGGCTCCTGCAAATCATTTCTTATCCTTTAGGAGTTGTTTCTGTGTTAAAGTACAGAGACCAAGAGCCAGAGTTTGGAGCCGGGTTCTAGGGTTCTGATCCTGGCTCTAATTTTCTAGCTGTTTCATCTTGGATGAGTAATTTAATTTTCACAAGACCCAAATGACTTTTGTGTTAAATCTCCATAGTACCTCCAAGGGTTATTGTTAGGACCAAATCGGGGTGGCTTTGAAGGGCATAGCACAGTGCGCTGTGTGGGGTCAGGGATTAATAAATGTTGACGATCATTTGCTTGGTTGTGGGGAAGCTGATTAAATTTGCTGCATGTTGTGGTGCATCTTCCTTGATTCCTTCCCCCTGTTTGCGGAGCCTTGAGCCAGACCTCAGTGAACACAGCTAGCAGCCGACCCAAGCTATTGCAAGGGAGGCCATGACAGAAGGGATAATGAGTTTGAAAGATACACCTGATGGAAAGGCAAATCCCTTTCAGGAGGAGAAAGAGGAAGACGGAAGGCCGGGTGCAGCTGGACCACAGCACCCTAGACTGCTAGAAAAGAACTACCTGGGGCTGGCAGTCCTGACAGAGCCATTTAATCAGCCAACAGTGGCCAGGCTGGACCTCCATCCTCCTGAAGCTGGCCCCTCCCTGGCACAGTGGGGACGGTGGGTGCCAACGTCCTGACGGGGTTGCCTCACGAAAGCAGGGAAGACAGCTGCAAACCACAGACAGCCCCAGTGAACCATCAGGGCCCAGCCCATGAGCAGTGCAGAATCTCTCCTTTCCTGATATGGGACAGAGGCTTTGAGAAGCCCACCTGTCCCCTCCTCTGATCCCATTTCCCAGATGCTACCCAAATCCCTGTTTGGCAATCACTATCACTCAGCACTCGAGCTGTGGACTCAGTCTTTATCTTCTCTTTAAAAGAAACATGGCAAAGTGTTGTCCCTACAGCCTCTTTGGCTATAAGCAGGGAACTGTGAATCCAACAGACCAACATAGAAGCAAAAATGCTCCTCCTGGGAAGAAGAGACAAATAACAAGCTTTTTATCAAGAATTAATCCCTACAATATGGTCTGATATCAATACAGACTCAGGGACATCTTCCGCTTGTCTTTCACTACCATACAATAAAAATGTAAAACTGATAGTGACCCCAAGAGGTCCAAGATCACTCATCAGGAGAGAATTTCTCCTTTGTACATTGTCTTTAGGCAGGAGAGCAGAGCTGTGCATTTTGTTCGACATATTCTACAAGAGCTGAAAGGAGAGCTTTGGATTGGTTCACCTCAGTCACCCTACAGACAGGGCTTGCAGGAAACCCTCCAGCCTTCTCTGGGTGCACCGTCTAATAAAGGTTGTTGTTGCAATCTGGCACGGAAACAGGATTAGGTATTTTGAGCAATTACTATTGTTTATGATTCATATACATTTCTAACCTGATAAAATATTAGCAGTCAAGCGTAAACAAAAGTGTTTCACAAATATTTGATTTGCATAATAGAGACTCAAAGTCAATGAATGTCTACATTTCTTACCGTGGTATAAACAACGTTTGCTATTGAAATGGAAGCAAAATAATTCATTAATTGCCACTTCTTCCTTCTCTTATATGGAATGTTTCTTGCTCTAGATAGCATAGGCAGAGTGTGTTGTATATAATGTATAATTTAAGTGACACCTGAGAGGTGTTAAATACATACTGAGTGACAAGAATAACGAGGCTTATTCATCTTATGAAAACATTAATAAAACCCTCAGCTGGAGATTAAATTAATATTATAATAACATTGTTCTCCAACTGGGGTATACAGAATCCTGGGAGAGCTGGGGAGTATTTGAAGACACCAGAAAAATGTGGCACATCTTCCTCAAGCTTCGCTTTACTGAAGACTATGAACTTTTTTAAAGAGTAAGACACTCGCGATTTATGGAGTAAAAGTTTTCACATGGATTTTCAGGTAGAATAGACTTAAACTTTTACCCTTGATTCTAGTGTCAACTCTCCAGACTCCTCTTGTCTGAATTTTTCTTCTCTGCCATGGAGTACTTAATAAAGCTTTTGAAGCACTTCCCTTATTAAAACACTAGAATACGATAGCATTTCTTGTTCTCTCTGATTTCGAGTAATAACAGGGAAAAGTAACTTGAGTAAGTGAACAGTCTGTATTTTAAAATGCTTGTGAGTTTAGCACTTCAAGTGATATATAAAGAAGTAAGAAAAATCTAAGGATGTTTCTAAATAAATTCTTCAATTCTTATCACTAAATTTCTCAATGAATCTGCTTGAATGCATAAAGATCTGCATTTAGCATATTAATGGTGACTTCGCAGGTGTCTAACATTTCTTTATCTGCTCACATTCTTTTGATAAAGCTAGTTTTGCAATAAAGACAAGACTAAACTTCAAGCCAAGACCACATATAAATTATCACAAATTTCCTATGTTTGAACTCTTAATTGATATAATTTATTATATATAACATACTACATGAATCACAATAAATCAGAGATTATTATATCATTCTTTAATTCATGCATTTAAAGAGTCAGGGACATAGCAGACCACAGGCAGTTTTATTGCCTAGGATTGTTTTTAAAGTTTTGTATAATGGCACTGGTTTTACATGATCATCCAAATGCTGCATCATCACTTAACTGCCTCACCTCACAAACTATACTGTCAATTTGTAGAGGACTGGGGCTGCATTTTACCATTGTTCTATCTTTTTCATTGCCCGCTAGCCTTGGCTTCCTAGCGGGTATTCACATATCAACAAAAAAATAGCAATTAGCAAATTAATCAAGGATGCCCTTAAAGTGCCTGTGTTTGGTGAGTGTGCCTTCATACTCATTGGTCATGAGATGCCCAACTCTATAGCAGTTGTTTTACTCTAATCTCATGATTTGAGGATAAAGGTCTTTGCCTAGAAACACTCGAACATATTCCACACATGTGAAACCAGTAGCAAATTAGCAAATTTGACAGATTCTATGAAACCAGTAGACTTTTTTACTGTTTATAAACTGTTGCTTCAAAATGAAAGGAAGTAGTTGACCCTCAGTGCCTGCTTCATGTCAAGGGATTGGATTTTGGAATAAACTAGTCAGCTAGAACACCTGCCTCTTTTACAGTTGTGTGTGTGTGTGTGTGTGTGTGTGTGTGTGTGTGTGTGTGTGGTTGCCACAAACAAAACCTTAAAGTTAATATTCCCTGCTTTCATGGATAGGACTATGTACTTTAATATATTTGGAGATGGTGTTTTGTGGTCAACTATTGGGACATACCCCATCAGTATGAGGGTATATGTACTAGGACCATATAGGAGAATATTTGAAATACGGGCTGTTCCAGAAAGCCTGGAACTATGGTCTCCTATCCCCAGATGTCTACATCATGACTTGTTCATTCTTTTCTATCCATTCTCAACCTGCCCATATTGTTTTACCTCTTCCTTCTTATCTGCCTTGTTTGACTTCTTTAGGACAATGTCGACCACCATGCCGGAGTGAATCTGGGGAGGAAAGGACACTTTGTGGGCAAAGACCGTGGCTGTCAGCACAGAGAAAGGGACAGTAGGTGAGTTAGATACATCATGTCACCAAAACTCTGTGAGGAGTCATATTCTTACTGAGGAGGTGGAAAACAGGCCAGTGCAGTTCTGAAGATGACCCTGGAGAATGGTGAGGATTCATCTCGTCCACATGGCTGTTGGGTGGGGATGGAAAATGAATGAACTGGGAATTCCATTGAATTCTGGGAAGAAACTTCTTTCAATCCTGGTCCTCTCCCTCAGTGTTGCCTAGAAAAGAAGTTCTTGAAGGCGCTGTTGTAGTTCTTGTTGAAAGCCGTATAGATCAGGGGGTTAAAGAAGGAGTTGGAGTAGCCAAGCCACAGGAAGATGCTTTTCCAGATGGCGGGGATGTCACAGGAGCAAAGAGGACTGATGAGCTCCGTGAGAAAGAAGGGGATCCAGCAGAGTGCGAACACACCAATGAGGATGCCCACCATGAGGGCGGCACGCTGCTCCTTCTGCTCTCGCCACGTGTCCCCTTCTGTCTGGAAGGTGACGGTGGCATGGCGGACCGTGAACACCATCTGGGGCTGTTGGGCAGAGTCCTTCACCTGGAAAAGACAAGCAGGAGCTTTATGAGGAGACACCTCAGTCTACCTCCAGGCTGAGCCTAGACACTGACAGTCCTGGATTCCGCACATCCACTCGAGGGAAAGTCTTTGATGGATAGGTGTGGGAACCTGAAGGCCTGTGGCACTTGCTCTCAGATATGGAAACCAGGCAACAGAGCTGGGGTGTTTGCTTACATCTTAGAAATGAAAGGACCAGATGTGATGAAATTGACAGCATGAAGATGGACTCCCTGTTGCTGTCTGTTCAACAGAGGCACTGGCAGAAACGAACAGGCAACTTGGCCTGCACAACTTAGTGGCAGAGGTGCACACATCGTCAAAAGTGTCCTAGGTTCCTAGCAAAATCCTGTTCGCTTAGGACCACGTTTTCTACCATCTTTATAACCTTATAGGCTCATGTAAGTCCCCTCTATAATGTTAGGACTTTCTAGAACTTCTCCTCTGGCACAAAGCTGTGCCCCATAGCATACTCTACTGCTTGATGCAGTCTAGTAACCAGGACACCTCTCTCTGGGTCTATTCTTCTTCTACCCCTGTATGTATGTAAAACTGAGACCCCAGTCTTTTAGTCTCACATGGGTGCCCCCAAGGCCTCCACAGGGCAGGTTCCCACAGAATCAGGCTCTCCAGTTCACTTCCTTCTGTCAAGGAGTGGAATTCCTGGGAAAGGAAGCTCCTCCTCCCTTCTGGTCCTATTTTTAGCTCTTGGGAGAACTGACATAATGAGTGTCTACTGATGAGGCAGCCTTAATATGAAGCAATCATAAATTTACTGAATTAGCAAATTAATCGATCTAATCAAAATGTGGGACAGTTTCTGACTCAGTCATTCTCTGGTGGGTGAGATTGCATTGACATTAAATAGTATTCTTCCCCTCGCCAGCATACTGTGACTCTAGTACATTTAAAAAGATATACACAACTTGTTCTCAAAGAGCATATGATCTTTTAGGCAAAGAATTGTCAGGTTAATCTAACCCACTTAACTAATTCTTGGCAGCATTTATAAAGTGGACTCAAAAGGAATTGACTTACTGTCATATGGAATAACAGGTGGAAATAGGAACACTGTGGATAAGGCAATGTTAGTTGATGAATAAATTACCAAATTTGTAGAATAGCCTTGCTGACATTTATTTGCAAAACAGTATAATATCAAGTCCGTACACTAAATTAAATTTAAAAGAAGATAATAAATAATGAAACCAAAGGTCCGTGATAGTGCAACCTTTAAAAACACGTATAAAATAAGCACTGAAAAAATCCCTCTTTCTGTACCTCTAGATGAAACCAGAGTTACCTTTGGCTACTGATTTATCAATGCATATCTGGAAATGCATTTGAGGGAATTCATTCATAGAAATCCAAACCATATTTAGCTTAATTTTTCAGCATAAAGCAAAGAAGGAAAGCTACTAATTTCCTTAACAGAATTCAACCCCATAATAATATCAGGGAAGCTGTTTTCCATATTGTCCCAAGACGCCAATAAAACAAGAATTGTAGCTGGACTCTTCAACCCTCTGGAAATTCTCCTTCCCCTTGGCACATTTTTATGAGTGACAATGGGGACACTGGTAACACTGGTCATACTTGAGACATGGTCACACTGTGGAGGCTGATCACATTGGTCACATAAAGGATGCTGGTAACACTGGAGATGCCGGCTATACTGGAAACATCATGGATTTTGATCATACTAGAGAAGCTGTTCACACTGGGGATGCTGGTCACACTGGAGATGCTATTCACACTGGGGAGCTGGTCACACTGAAGATTCTGTTCACACTGTGAATGCTGGTTACCCTGATGATACCATGGATGCCGTTCACACTGTGGATGCTGGTCACACTGGTGACACCATGGATGCTGGTCACACTGGTGACACCATGGATGCCATTCACACTGTGGATGCTGGTCACACTGGTGACACCATGGATGCCATTCACACTGTGGATGCTGGTCACACTGGTGACACCATGGATGCCATTCACACTGTGGATGCTGGTCACACTGGTGACACCATGGATGCTGTTCACAGGGTGGATGCCATTCACACTGGAGATGCTGTTCACACTGGGGATGCTGGTCACACTGGAGACACCATGTAGGCTGATTACACTGGAGATGCTGGTCACACTGGAGATACTGTTCACACTGGTGATGATCACACTGGTGATATCAGTGACACTTAGGGCTTGATTTAGAATTTTTTTATAGTTTAGTCATAGAACTTTAGTTGTTCAGAAAAGCATATTTTTCTATTACCTTGTGAAATGTTGATTATTTTACTGGGCCATCTGGCCATCTTTGGGGCTGTATTCAACACCAACTCACTTGACAGAAGAAAGAGTGGCATTGATTTAAAATGGTACCCCAGGGACAATAGAGTCTCCAGCTGCTAGGAGGATCTTGGTTATCTGTGGAGTTTCAGGTTTCTAATGCCCTCAGATGGTGGATTTGTTTGCTCTCTATGGCTCTCGGACTTATGGACTCCTTAGCTCTTTGCTCTCTTCTAATCAATGATTGCAATAAAGCACTTAATTGAGTCTGGACAATAACACTCTATTTTCAACCTGGTCATTAGTAAACTCACAGAAAGAGAGCAAATAGGGTTAAAAAGTGAACAGTTAAGCCAAATTAATTTTTCCTAATAATCTCTGAAATGCACATAAAGTACATACCTCACAATTTAAGATTCATATATAAAGTTTTTTCTAAATGAACACTTAGCCTCATCTCCCCCAGCAAACAAGTTCTTTGGAGACAGGTACATATGTGTTAGAGCTTTCATCCTTCCAAAATGATTGCATGCTAAATAATTATTTACTGGTTAATCACAAATCTGGTATGTCCTTTTATTTCATCCAAACACTCTGCTTTGCCTCTCTAATAATGTCCTAGATAATCAATGGATTACCATCAATAATGGGCATTGAAATTAAGGGATAAAGACTCTTACCCTGGAAGTGTGGTTTCAGGTGATTTGTATGTTAGACCACACCACTGTCAGAATGAGAGATGGGTCACAGGAGCCCGATGGAACAATACAAATGTTTAAGCTAAAAATGGCCTTACCCATTAAGGAAGGCTCCATGAGGGTGTGAATAAAAAACCTCCACAAACTTAAGACTGATTGTTCTGTAACTGATAACAAGCAGCTTTCTTGCTTAAACCTCTTCAATCAATCAAGCACAATGCAGTTTTGGAATATACATTTGTAAACCAATTATTCTGTGTCAGCCCTCACTTCTGAGTCAGCCAGTTAGGGTTAGACTTGCCCCAGTAAACACACCTCTGAACACTGATCACCCAAAGAAAACCCCGTTCCAGCAGAAAACCTCATTCCAACAGAAAACCCCATTCCAACAGAAAACCTCATTCCAACAGAAAACCCCGTTCCAACAGAAAACCTCATTCCAGCAGAAAACCCCGTTCCAACAGAAAACCCCATTCCAACAGAAAACCTCATTCCAACAGAAAACCCCGTTCCAACAGAAAACCCCATTCCAGCAGAAAACCCCGTTCCAACAGAAAACCCCATTCCAACAGAAAACCTCATTCCAACAGAAAACCCCGTTCCAACAGAAAACTCATTCCAGCAGAAACCCCATTCCAGCAGAAACCCCGTCCAACAGAAAACCCCATTCCAACAGAAAACCCATCCAACAGAAACCCGTTCAACAGAAACCTCATTCCAGCAGAAAACCCCATTCCAGCAGAAAACCCCGTTCCAACAGAAAACCCCATTCCAGCAGAAAACCCCATTCCAACAGAAGACCCCATTCCAGCAGAAAACCTCATTCCAACAGAAAACCCCGTTCCAACAGAAAACCTCATTCCAGCAGAAAACCCCATTCCAGCAGAAAACCCCGTTCCAACAGAAAACCCCATTCCAGCAGAAAACCCCATTCCAACAGAAGACCCCATTCCAACAGAAAACCCCGTTCCAACAGAAAACCCCATTCCAACAGAAAACCTCATTCCAGCAGAAAACCCCATTCCAGCAGAAAACCTCATTCCAGCAGAAAACCCCATTCCAGCAGAAAACCTCATTCCAGCAGAAAACCTCATTCCAGCAGAAAACCTCATTCCAGCAGAAAACCCCATTCAAACAGAAAACCCCATTCCAGCAGAAAACCCCATTCCAACAGAAAACCCCATTCCAGCAGAAAACCCCATTCCAACAGAAGACCCCATTCCAACAGAAAACCCCGTTCCAACAGAAAACCCCATTCCAACAGAAAACCTCATTCCAGCAGAAAACCCCATTCCAGCAGAAAACCTCATTCCAGCAGAAAACCCATTCCAGCAGAAAACCTCATTCCAGCAGAAAACCTCATTCCAGAAACCTCATTCCAGCAGAAAACCCCATTCCAGCAGAAAAACCCCATTCCAACAGAAAACCCCATTCCAGCAGAAAACCCATTCCAGCAGAAAACCCGTCCAACAGAAAACTCGTCCAGCAAAACCCATTCAGCAGAAACCCCATCCAACAAAAACCCCATTCAACAGAAAACCCATTCCAACAGAAAACCCCATTTCAGCAGAAAACCGCATTCCAACAGAAAACCCCATTTCAGCAGAAAACCCCATTCCAACAGAAAACCCCATTCCAACAGAAAACCCCATTCCAACAGAAAACCCCATTTCAGCAGAAAACCCCATTCCAACAGAAAACCCCATTTCAGCAGAAAACCCCATTCCAGCAGAAAACCCCATTCCAACAGAAAACCCCATTCCAACAGAAAACCCCGTTCCAACAGAAAACCCCGTTCCAACAGAAAACCCCGTTCCAACAGAAAACCCCGTTCCAACAGAAAACCCCATTCCAACAGAAAACTCCATTCCAGCAGAAAACCCCATTCCAGCAGAAAACCCCATTCCAACAGAAAACCTCATTCCAGCAGAAAACCCCATTCTGAGAAAACCCCATTCTGCAGCTGATGTCAGCCTGCTGCTACTCTGAGTGTCCTCCA